CATTTAGAAAGATATTCCCAAACAGGAATAACTAAAGCGAACAATTTAAGTATGCTGATCATGCTAAGTGACAACTCTTTACGAGCAGCAGCCTGAAACTGTATCAACAGTTAATTCTAAATACTGCAGCTGTGTTTTATTGGTTCAGAAACAGAATTGTAAAGGAAGTATTGAAGGTGGGTTTCTGTAGCAGTGACTTTGAGTGTTTCATCTAAAATGTAAGTGAAATTTATGACAAAGTTTAAACGACTGCTATAAATTCTAATGGAAAGTACACAACTGCACTTTAAAAGGTAAATTCTAAGTGGGTAGTTGATTAAACAAAGTAGGTTAGTTTGGACACCATGTCAGGAGGGAAATGTGAGTGTAAGGCTGTCTTTCCTTGAACAGAGTGCTTTTGAGGTAGCTTCCATTTATGCACTGAAGAAAAGACACTGTTTTAGGCATTTATGAAATGTGTCTCATTTAGGACAGAATAGAACCAGATATTGACTGTGCTTGCTGTGTTGCTTGATTCTGCTTTGATGGGTGGTTAATAGAACTCATGATCCTCTAAATTGTGAGCCAAGATTACACAGAACGTTTAAATAACAATTAGAGGAAAAATTGTTTTCAGATATTTACGTTGTTAAATCCAGCTAGTTTTATTTAAATATACCAGCAAGAGGCAAGTGCCTATATTAAAGAATCTTAATATGCAAAGTTCTTTTTTTATATAATATTTGCTGAAATATTTGAAGGGGAGAAAGATGTATGCTGAGATGAGGAGAGTTATCTTTTGAGAAGGAGATTGATACTGATTGATAATTAGCTTTCACAAGAGAAATACTTTGCATCCTCTTGATCCACACCCCAACTCCCGCAGTGGCAGCCCTGACCTCTGTCCAAAGCTCCTATATGGGTGACAGGAACCGAGTAGTCGGGCTGTCCTCCACTGCTTTGTAGGGCACATTAGCAGGCAGTTTATTGAAAAGTGGAGCACTCGAGACTCAAACTTACTTTGCTAGCTCCAAGCCATTAGTTTTTCGTGTGCTGAAATCTAGGGAATTTTGTTTGCAATTCTATTTGTTGAACTAGATGGTTGTTTTAAAATCCTGTGTTTTGATTAAATAGAAAAATTGTTTTAAATTTTACTATCTCTGCCTGTTGAGATATGTATTATGTTATTACCAATGCCACATTTAAAAAAATGAATTCCATATAATTAATTTTATGATGTACATGTGTGCATGTGTTTCTTTATTAAACTTTAGACGTGAGAGTACCGTATTGTGGTTTGTAAATATAGAATTCATTTTTGAATGTAAGGAGGCCATTCATGTATGTGAATAAACTTGAGTACATGGTAATGTTTATCAACTAGCTTTCACTGATTTTTTATATTACAGCTTGATCTCTTTTTCCTCTTTTTAAAAAATTATCTATTTGAAAAAATAGACCTCTAGATGCTTCCCTCTACTGGTTCATATTTCAAGTGGTACAAACAGTAAGGTGTAGTCCAGGCCACATCCAGGAGCTGGAAACTCCTTTCTGGTCTCCTACATGGGTGGCAAAGGCCTAAATATTTAGCAGGAGACTGGATTGGAAGCAGAATAGGTGGGATTCAAAGTGGTACTTCAGGGATGGCAGCTTCGCAAGTGACAGTTGAACCTGGTACCCTGACAAAACCAGCCTTGGTGATCTCTTATTTATTCTTGCAAAGTGTTCATAATTATGTATACACTTCAGTGAGTGACATTTTAAGGCTAAGCTATTTTAGTATTATCCTGAACCTACGAAATACTCGTTATACTGTTTGAGCATCCTTAATCTGAATTATCTTGTTATCTCAAATAAGAATGCTAAACTGGGCCCAGCGCCGGGGCGCAGTGGGTAAGGTCCTCGCCTTGCATGCCCGGGATCCCATATGGGCACCGGTTCTATCCCGGCAGCCCTGCTTCCCTTCCAGCTCCCTACTTGTGGCCCGGGAAAGCAGCAGAGGAAGGCCCAAAGCTTTGGGAACCTGCACCCATGTGGGAGACCAGGAAGAGGTTCCTGGCTTCGGATCAGCATAGCATCAGCTGTTGCGCTCACTTGGGGAGTGAATCATCAGACGGAAGATCTTCCTCTCTGTCTCTCCTCTCTGTATATCCGCCTTTCCAATTAAAAAAAAAAAAGAATGCTAAACTGTGTCTATGCAAATATTGCAAAGTCACAAATTCCAAAATCTGAAACATTTCTTGTCCCAATCATTTCAGATAAGGAGTACTCAACCTGTACTATTATTGTTAGACATTGAGGTCTCACTGGAGTCCTCTTATAAAGAAATTGGGCTCCAACTCTATTAGTTTACTTACCAAGTTGATGGATTGAACAATTTAAGCCAGAGCATTAGGTCATAACTTTTACATTGGCAGTGTATTGATGATGTCCTATTGTATATCACACGTTAATGTATGTATAGTGTTTCAGAAAATGAGAATGGATCCTAGTGGGGATTGAGTATGGTTTTTCCTCTTGCCTTAAGGAACAATTGTTACTATATGTCATGAGTGATCTTTCTATGAAATTGTCTAAACATTTTTAAGATTTTTAAGTCTGTTGTTCTTATAGTTCCAGTGCCCATACATATCTTATGTCCTTGAGTAAAAGGACTATTTTAAATATTTTAAAAGATTTCTTTTGTCTCACCCACTCATTTCAAAATATCTTCTCCTAGTTCTCCACCATCAACTGATTTCTGAGTCTTCATTTGTGTAAGTGTGCAAAAAAGTAATATATTCCCCAAATGGAAAGAAATCTTTTTTCTAGTGTTTTTTGGGAACCAGAACCTAACACCAGCCATTCTGTTGGATGTTATATTTCCTAAGCACTGTCTTAACTGCTATACCAAATATTTGCCCCAGAATGTTTTAAATAGACAATTTAATTCTTTAATAGAGGCCCAGAAACTCAGTTTTTCTATGGTTGTACTTTTTCCTTTCAAGCAATGTGAATGTTTTAAGATGTTGAAGTTTGTGGCATGAAGTTCATAATATTATATTCTCTTAGTTTGTAGTCAAGTTCACTTTGATTCTGGATTGTCCTAATTTGTTTCTGTTCTGTTTCCTGTGTCCAGCTAATGTTTTATCAATTTTATTGACCTTTTAAAGGAACTGACTATATTTGGTATTAGTACTTTTTCTGATTTTTCTTTCTTTCTGTTCACTGAAAGAAGTGAATTTGGTTTAAGCCCTTGAAGAAATCGGGATTTGTCACAAATAAGTAATGGGGAAAGGAATAAGTTACTGTCTATGGGACATAGATATATGTCCAGTGACAGTATAATATTAGTAATTATCTATCTTTGGTAATTCCTATAAAGAAGTTTTGTCTATAAAAACGTCTGAAATAATAAAAATAAAATATTTTTGTTTAGTGCAGCAGGTGCTTTTTTATGTACAGATCTCTGTGCTTTCTCTATCTCATAAAGATACTTGTTACATTGTTCTTTAGTTGTAATTACCTTGATGTGTATATGTATAGCAATTAGGGATAAAATTAAGCATATTATACAAGTTATACAATATGGTTTTTAATGTTTGTATTACTTTATATATATATATATATATATTTTAGTTTCAGGCAAATATTTGTGTTCCTATTCCAGTAAACTTTTTTTTAAAGATTTATTTTATTTTTATTACAAAGTCAGATAAACAGAGGAGGAGGAGAGACAGAGAGGAAGATCCTCCGCCTGATGACTCACTCCCCAAGTGAGCACAATGGCCGGTGCTGCGCTGATCAAGAAACCAGAATCCAGGAACTTCTTTCCGGGTCTCCCATGCAGGTGCAGGGTCCTAAGGCTTTGGGCCATCCTCCACTGCCTTCCCAGGCCACAAGCAGGGAGCTGGATGGGAAGTGGAGCTGCCGGGACTAGACCCGGTGCCCACATGGGATCCTGGCACATTCAAGGCGAGGACTTAAGCCGCCAGGGTACCGCACCGGGCCCATCCAGTAGACTTTTTGGTGATGACCAGCTTTCAGTCTAATTGCTACATGGTGTGTGTGGTTCTTGTCCCTATTTTACCATCTGTACCAACACACCAAAGTAATATAAAAGTAACAGATAAAATTTATGGTGATTTTACTCTAAGCTAGGAAAAACTATATTTTCCTTGTTTGATACCAGATCAAATTCCACACATTGTCTCTATAGAGGCTTACTGTTTTTAATAAATCAAAGTCTACTTAAAATAATTTGGCTATGATACTATTGTAAGCTTTTTCCTGGAGCTTCAAGTTTTTTTAAAATGAAAATGTAAGTCTTATTCAACTTGAACAGTCTTACTTGTTATTGTAGAAATTGTCATTGGGTAAATTAAACAATATAGTTTTGTGTGGTTGGGTGAGAAATAAAATCATGTTGTAAAATACTGGGTAGCTACCAAATTTAGATATCCCACCCAGATAATAATGAAGAGACAAGACAGCATTGTTTTACCTGGGTTTGAATCTTATCTCTGGTATCCGTTGCTGTGAAAACCTGGGTAAATTTTATATTCTTTGTGTCCCATTTTTCTGACTTCCAAAATGAGAATTGTAATACCTCCTATCTCAGAGTGGTTGTGAAGTTTAAAGGAGTTAGAATACAAAGAGATTGCCTAATATCTGTGTTAGCTATTCTTGCCAGCCTTTTCTGAGCCACAGTGTATATTTTTTTATAATGCTCCATATAAATGTTGATTTCTGTGCCTTTTCTGTTATTCTGTTAGGATAATGGTAGAGTCCATCGTTTGCCTTATATATCAAGGGAAATTTACTGGAGAGAATATGCACTTAATAAATACAGTGAATGATGTTGAAAGTAATATCTGTTACATAAAATATGTACTACATATTAATTTTTGAATAAAATCAGCTTTCACTCTAGTTATGACTTATTTGAATTTTTACTTGCAGAAGTACATAGCTCTTATAAAAATAAGTCACGTGCATCTTTTTTGTTTTGTTTTGTTTTGGTACGGTGGTGATGGAAATAGTACCTCAGTGTGTCTGGAGAATAAATGTGGATATTCCTGAAGAAGCTAACCAGAATCTCTCATTCAGTGCTACTGAACGATGGTGGGAACAGACAGATTTGACCAAATTAATATTATCAAACAACAACCTTCAGTCACTTGCAGATGACCTCCGACTTCTGCCTGCATTGACAGTTCTTGATGTAAGTTGACTGACTATAAATACGAGTAAATATTACTTGAAAAGACAATGAAAGCTTAAATGATCAGAAAACTTTCCAAGTTAAATTGGTGTAACCTAGTTGTAAATAGCAAATTACTATGTTAAACACAGCAGAATAGTTTAGAGTACAGCATGAGAACATCAAATTCTGATTGCTAGATGTTAGCTTTGTGTCTTTAGGAATGTCATATCTCCACATCTTAGTTTGTATTCATACAAATAAAGAATAAGTCTACCACTTGTTTTTAAAATGTATTATTAGAATTAAATAAACTAATTATAATTAGAATAATGCATACAAATAAAATCAGTATATAACAAGTGGTTGCTTTTGCTTATCTTTATTTCATTTTTTATAAATCGTTACTGCTATTATACATATTAAATCACATTCAGCACTTAGGGCAAGTTTTCTTTTGTAACATGCCTGCAATGTCATTGACTTAAATTACTCAAATTTCAATGTTTTTATTAAGTGACTCTATTTTTAGTCTCTGGTTACTGTGTAGATACACCAAGATTGGTGGAATAAGTGAACAGTAGTTCATTTGTGGATTTACAGACTTGACTTAGCAATATCAAAATCCCTCCAATTCCTTTGTGAAAAAGTTGGATCCAAATTAGTGAAATTTCTAGGCAAGCTTTTATTTTTTGCATCTATAGGATGGAATGAATCAGTACACTCAGATTTCTTTACCTGAAAGAGGAGTAGAGTTTGTGAACACATGAGAATATTTTTGTGTATGTTGAGTTAATCTTATCATCAGAGGATTATGGTTTCTAATTCCCTTGGCTCTTATTTAAAGTCAGACTCTACTCAATGAGGTAGGTGTTGTGTGTTTTTTTTTTTTTTTTTTTTACTTTTAAAAATATTTAATTATTTTGACAATCTTAACATAGTTGATTAGGGCACAAAGCATCAAGGGCTATTAAGAAAATGGGTAACACCATTGTTTCCACATTCTCTTTTTTTCCCCCTGTATCTGGAGTAAGGGGGGAGATAAAGGGAGAAGCCCCACCAGCTTCCCACCCATACCAGGGTCTCCTATGTGGAGCATGCTCCGAGGGTCTTGCTCAAGTGGTTTTGATAGTTCAACAGTTGTAAATTGTTGCCCATCTCACCATTCCAAGCACGGTGAAATTTCTAGAATGCACTGGCTGACATAGTCCATCTTAAAAGTCTCCGTTTGCCCACATTTGCACTAACAACACTTGGCTAAAGTAGATGATAGATTTGTTCTGTCCTCTGTTGTGGTGCCAGGTGTCCTCTGCGGGTTCCGATGGACTGCCATATCCTCCATGTACACCTGGATATGTGATCTACTGTTCCATCAAAGTTGAGGAGGCTCAACTTTGACACATGCACTCCATGGCTGACCATGGAACCTGCACTTCTCTTCATGGTTGGGATTCTGAGATCAGCAGTTCAGTTGGAGGGATCCCTAAAGAAACTGTCTGAAGTGATCCCAGACCTGATTCTTGTTTCTGCATGCCCGTACAGGGTTTGGCACAGTCCATTGCCAGTAACGCTTAGTTTATATTTTATCACTTTATGATTTCTGAGCAGTTTGATTTCAAACTCAATTTTTAAAAACTTATTCTTTTAACTCATTTTATTTGTAAGCACACATAGAGAAAGAGGAGAGTTCATGAACTAGTTCACTTCTCAAATGCCCTATAGTACTTGCTTCTGGCCCAGTGCAGAGCCATTCTCTACTAAGGGGCAGGAACCCAAGTGCTTGAGCTAACATGTACTGCTTCCCAGAATGCGCGTTATCAGGAAGCTGGATTGGAAGCAGAGATGGGACTTGGAACATTCTGTTGAAATGTGGGCATCCCAAGCAGTTACAGTTACTGCACCAAACGTTCCTACCCTTTTCCCTTGTAGACACTGTTAAAATTACTAGTAGCCTAAATCATTGCGATTGAATTAGGAAAACGGTGGTTATCGGTGAATAAATTTTTCTGCGATGGCAAAACTAATATTGCTGTAAGAATATCAACTTCATCTTTTAATAATTGTAGATACATGATAATCAGCTGGAATCTCTTCCTTCTGCTATAAGCGAGTTAGAAAACCTTCAGAAACTTAATGTCAGGTAAGATGTAACCTTTTTTCTATTGTGACAATGATGTATATCTAATAAGATTTTTTTCTGATTATAGTCTATTTTTTCATGGCATAGTTAAAGCAAGATAGATGTTTCAAGTTGTAATGTTCGGATTATTTGTGTTTTAAGTTTGATTTACTTGCTTATTTGAAAGGCAGAGATACTGAAAAAGGAAGGCTTTTCATCTGTTGATGGAGTACTTGGAATAGCCAGGGCTTGGTTGGGCAGAAGCCATGAGCCCTGACCTCAAACCAGGTCTCCCAAGAGTGGCTCAGTGATCCCAATATTTGAGCAATAGCCGGGATTAGAACTGACACCCATATGGGATCCCAGTATGTGCAAGCTGAGGACTTTAGCTGCTAGGCTACTGTGCCGGGCCGTACTTTTGTTTTTTTAGAGATTTATTTGTTCTTTATTGGAAAGGCAAATTTACAGAGAGAAGAGATAACAGATATTCCATCCCCTGGTTCACTCCACAGTTGCTACAATGGCAGGAGCTTAGCTGGTCCAGAGCCAGGAGCATCTTCTTAGTCTCCCATTTGGGTGCAGGGTCCCAAGGCTTTGGGGTGCTGCTTTCCAAGTCCACAAGATGGGAGCTGGATGAGAAGGGGAATACCCAAGACACAAACTGACACCAATATGGGAACCCACTGGATGCAAGGAGAGGACTTAGCCATTAAGACATTGTGTTGGGCCCTGTTAGAACTACTTTTATTTTCATTTAATTTAGGGTTATCATAGGGTCTTAACATTTCTATTTTCTTGTTGCTATTCATGAAGTAACTTCATGTGCCATGAGGGTAGAGTGGAATTCCTTTTTTCTTTTACATAAATATATTTTTGATGATGTTTACATAGTATAGATAGATGTATACCATGTGGACCCCTGATCAGGGTTGAAGAATGTCGGCAAAGTAGAAGAGACACTGCTTCTAATTTTTTTCTTCTTGTAGCTGGGGGACAAGGGAAGAGAGCTGCTCCCAGCACCCTAATTGCATCAGTACTTGGTGATAGGGGATGGGCACTCGGTGTCATCCTAGGGTTTTTGAGGTGAAGCATGTTCTGAGGGTACTGCTTAATTGGTTTTAATAGTTCTGAGGTGCTGTTGATTTAATTGCTTCAAGGTTTAGGAAATCCTTTCAAGGTCCATTGGCTACCATGGTCTACTTCAGAGTCTCCACTCGCCGAAAAACTTGCTGTCATAGCTTGGCTGGGGAGTTGTTCAATTTATTCTGCCCTCCATCCTCTGCCATGGTACTAGATGTTCTCTGCAGGCCTCAATGAACTGGTTGTTATGTCCCCTATGTGCATCTGGCATGCTTTCCACTACACAGGCTTCAGCAACTGAGAAGGCCAGTTCTGACACATGCACCGCAGTTGGACAGCAGCTCCTGTGATTTTCCTCATGGTTGGAGTTTTTGGTCCAGTGATCTGGTTGGGTGGGTTCCCAAAGAACCCTCACCTGTGGTGTGGTGTGCCCAGACCTAACTCCTGTGTGTGCCTACTAGTTCATTCTCCAGCTCAGTCTGTCACCCATATCAGCCTACATACACACTGATGGTTGCAGTCACCCAGGTCAGTTGTTCCCATTTCCATCTCATGAAAAAGCACAGCCCAGCCTAAGCCTGCCCACAATACACTTGAACCTCATGCACACCAGTGGGAACTGTAGCCTAGTTGGGGCAACCCCCAATAATGCCGACCAGACCTAGCCACAACCCTAGTTCCTGTGCATGCCAGTATGTCTGGTCCAGTCTGTCCCGCATCCCATTTGGCTCTTACATACACCAGTGGGTCCTGCAGCCTAGCTTAGCCTGAATGACCTCTGTATCTAACCCACACTTAAACCAGCAGGGATTACCACCTGTCCATCCAGGCACACCTCCAGTGCTAGTTTTCATTCTCACTGGTGGGCACTGCAACCAATTAGAGGTGTGCCCAGACTTTCCCTTCTAGGCCTACTCCCAGCCCTGTGTCTGCACTTTCCAGGTGGTAGTGTGGTTTAGCCTGACAGGATTTTCCCAAGTCCTGACATTTGCTAGCTGATGCTACGGCAAAGCCTGACCAACTTTCATTTACTCTGGCTCATGGATGCACTAGTGGGTACACTTGGTTAGCCCAGTCTGGCTCTCCCCCTAACCCAGCTCACATATAGGCTAATCGGTTTTGTAGCTCATCCTGCCCCCGTGCCAGTCTTGAATCTCGCTGATTGGTGCTACAGTCTAGCTTTGCCTAACCTGTACTGATCCATGGCTTTTGTGCAAACCGATCCATGTGATAGTCTAGCCTGGCATGCCCGACACCCCATTCTGCCTCCTGTGTGTGGCTGTGTCTGATGGTTTGACCTGGTCCTGCCCAGTCTTCCCCTTGACCCAACCTATAACCCTGCCAACAAGTTGAATAGCCTTGTCCAGCCTTGCCCACACCCAGCCCTGACTCTCATGCTGGCCAGTAGGAGTTGCAGCCTACCAGGGGAGTTCCTCAAGTTCCCCTACCAGGCCCACTCCCAGACCTGGATTTCACATTTGCCTTCAGGTGCTAGGACCTTATCTGGTGTTGTGGGCTAAGGAGTTGAATAGTGCTCCTTAGCCTGGGCAGGAGCAGGAACTGGGCTTGTGGCTAAAAACACTTAGACTAATTGGACTTACCTGTATCCAATATCCTGCTAAATGAGGATGTGGGGGGAAGAGTATATAGGGAGAGGTGAAGGAGCAGTAAAGGGAGACTTCGCAGAGACTTCCACCATCACTGGTCTCCGTCGGTGCTTCATCCCCAGGCCCTCTCCGTGTCCACGTTACTGGCTCTGCTGGCCGGAGCAACCTGGCACAATCTGCTGCCCAATCTTGGTCTTTGTGTGTGTTGGTGGATGTTGCAGCCTGGCCCACCCCACACCCAATTCTTGTTTGTGCCTGATGGTTGCACAGCCTGAATCACCCCAGCCTGTTTCCATCCCCAGTTCCCACAACTGTTGTTGAGTTCTGTGGTCATGCCTAGCTCAGCCTGTCACTGCCCCCAGCCTCAAGCAAATCAGCAGGTTTCGCGGTCCTTCAGTGGTGAGCCACAAATTTGCTACAGAATCTTCCCCCAGACCCAGTTCTTTCATGTTAGTGTCATGGCTTAGCCTAATGTGACTCATCCTCTGTTCTGACTTCCAGTGGTAGATACTGTGGTCTAGCCCTACCAAGTATGCACCGCACCCTCACACACACACCAGCCTAGCTTTCGTGTATGCTGGTGAGTGTGGTTGTTGGTGGTTAGTATTGGCTATCCCAGCTCCTAACTCCCATGTGGTCAAGTGCATTGGTCTGACCCAGAAGGGTCTCCAGTTTTCTTTTATCCACACTGCTCGGTCTCAGCTTCCTTGCCTACTGCAAGTACAGTGGCCAGCTTGATGGATGTCCCCCCAGAAGTTATTATTTCCATGTAATGAACTCTCCTAGTAGTACATCCTCCTGCACATCCTTATATCCTCTTCCCTAAGCTATCTTCAACCCCATGTCCATGGAACACATTGATTTCCCAGCCTAGTCTCTTAGCAGGTAGCCTGCTGGCCTGGAGCTTGGCTGCCCTGACAGGACCCAAGTGCTTGCCCAGGTCCCAAGACTCAGTTCACCAGTATGCCATACCATCTTACAACCCTATCCCTCGGCCTGCCTGGGACCCAAGCATGTGTGTGAGCCCCTCGGCCCACATCAGTGTATTAGCTTGCAACTCCACCTGAGACCCAAACGTGTGTGAGCCCCTTGGCCCACATCAGCGTATCAGCTTGCAACTCTACTTGCCTGCCCACCTGAGACCCAAACATGTGGATGAGTCCCCTAGTGTGCAGCACAGGTACTGGCGAAATCTGGATGGGGCGCCAGTGGAGTGGAATGCATAAGTAAATGGTTAGATTGTGTTTATCCTGGGATGAGTTTATTCATCTGTTAAATATCATTAAGTATATCATTCTCAGTGAGTGGGGACTTCTCAAATAATAAATTGAATATACAGAAGGGTTAACATTAAAATAAAGACCAAGTCAAAAATAATGCATCATATATTAGGTTTAACATAGTATGCTAGGTTTCAAATAGCTACTTTGGCCTTGAATGCTAGGTTTAAAAGATGAGTATTTTATAAAATTGCAGTTCACCCTAACCAACTATGTAAACATCATTAAAAAATTAAATAGTATTAAAAAAAAGATTGTAACTAATGTACATTTATACACATAATTTCGTCAAAATTCTAATAGCTAGATACAGTATAAAAATCAAGTCTGTTAAGTTCTTTTATGTATAAAGTCAAAAATTGATTATAAGCAATCAAAACATTACTGATGTTTAGTTAAAAACTTGTTTTATGATTGGTTTCCTTTGCAATTACAATTTGATTACATAATATTACTATTTTAGTAAAAGTATACTTTGGAAATTTTAATTTTGAAATGCACTTAAATTTGGCAACCGTATTTCTTTTTTGTAGTAAGTCTACATATTTGGTTAATAAGAATGTTTGATATATATTAACATTGTCACCAAATTATTTGACATTTATTTTATCAATCAATAGCCATAACAAACTGAAAAAACTTCCTGAAGAAATTACAAATCTAAGAAATCTAACGCACCTGTATCTCCAGCATAATGAACTTACTGTCATACCAGAGGGATTTGAACAACTTTCCAGTTTAGAAGATTTAGTAAGTTTTTCAAACATTTTTTTATGATTTGGGGTTGGTGGGATTTTTTCATCATGCTGAGAAATTGTGTAGATGATTAAAATAGTGAAGACATGTACAACTTATTTTGTGATGAGATTATCAGAAACTTTTTATTAGATTGTTTTTATAGTATTATTAACTCCACTTTAGTTCAGCAGTACAGTTTGGAGAAGGATCACTGAAGATGACTTTTTTTTCCTAATTTATTTTATTTGAATGGCAGATGTATATATATACAGAGGGAGAGACAGGTAAGTCTTTCTCTGATTGACTCTCCCATTGGCCAAAATGAACACAGGAGCTTCCTTTGGATCCCCCACACGGGTAACAAGGCTCAGCTGGGCCATCCTCTAATGCTTTTCCAGGTGCATTAACAGGGAGCTGGGTCTGAAGTGGAGGAGCCAGAGCGTGAATCAACATCTAGGTGGGACTCTTGTAGGTGGAGGCCTTACCTATTCCACCACAGTGCTGATCCTTACTTTGTTTGATAAAAGGATTTTTTATAAATAGCTTAACACAACAGGGGAAGATTGTCTTTAGTACTTATACCTAAAATAGTTCCATTCTAAGAGTTCCTTCTTTTATATGTCACATATAGTCTTCCTGTCCAGTTTACTTATTTATTTTTATTGATTGATTTATTTTTATTGAAAAGGCAGATTTACAATGAGAAGCAGAGATAAAGAGCTTCTATGTGTTGGTTCTCTCCCCAAGTGGCCACAGTGGCTGGAGCTGAGCTGATTTGACTTTCCAGTAAAAACAAATCTTAAAAAAAAAAAAGCTAAAACATTAAAAAAAAAAAAACCCATCTTGCTGAAATTAGCAAAATCAGATTTTTTTTTTTCAAAATTGAAATGACTTTTTTAGCTTTATTTTCATTCCAAGTTTTTGTTTATTTGTTTTTGGGTTTAGTTATTTGAAATGCAGAGTGACATAACAGAGACAGAGTATCAAAGATTTTCTGTTCAATGGTTCAGCAGTTACCTGTAAAAGCCAGGGCCGGGGTAAGCTGAAACTAAGCTCTTAGGAATTCCATCCAGATCCTGTGTGGAAGGGGTCCTGTTGTATTCCCCAGCGCAGGGAGCACGTGGAACTCCTACCAGCATGCTGATAACAGGATGCATGCTTTGCCATTGGTGGCATAATCTGGTGCACCACAACTGTAACCCCAAAATTTTTCTTACGGATGCTTTTGAATTTACATTATGGCTTTTCTGGTAATTTGCCTAATTTGTTATAGGTACTCAATAAATAATAGACGAACAAATGTATTCACACATTGAAAATATCACATATATCCTGTCTCGGTTTTAATAGAAACCTTTGTGTTAAAGTCATTTGAAGTAGTAATTCATTCTAATGCCTATCTATTACCTTTATGGGCAATAGAGGTCTTGAGATATTCCAAAATAATATTGACATGACACTGTGAAATTGTCGGTGCACAAGAGTTACAAACCTTTGAAATAATGTCTTTCCTATGCAATTTGTTCAAAATCTGAAGTCCTCTTTAGGAGTTATTTCTCTTTCCACTGGCTCATGTATTTATTCATTCTGTTTTTCTTTTTTAAAAGGATCTTTCAAACAATCGTCTTACAATGATTTCCACTGGTATTTCTTCTCTATCCAGTCTGGTGCGAATGAATCTTTCCAGTAATCAGCTGAAGAGTTTGCCAGCAGAAATAAGTAAAATGAAAAGTAAATTCTGATTTTATAAACTCGATTTGAATTTGATGCAAATTGTATTTAGAGTGATCATTTTGAATATGGTTATGTAAAAATAAGTAGATTTTTTAAAATATTTTTTAAAATATTAATTTTGCTTGAAGGAGTTAACAGAGGGGATGTCAGAGAGAGAGTTTCCCTTTGCTGTTTCACTCCCAGATGGTCAGAGCTGAGCTGGTCTGAAGCTAAGAACCAGGATCCTCCTCTGAGTCTCCCACATGGGTTCGGGGTTTAAAATCTTGGACCATCCTGCACTGCTTTCCAAAGCCACGAGCAGAGAGGTGGATCAGAAGTGAAGTAGCCAGGACTTAATCTGGCACCCTTATGGGATACTGGCACCACAGGTGGAGATGAGCAAACCACGGTCCCTTTGCCCTGGAGTACATGGGCACCTGGCGCTAAATTATGCTCAGGTAGGCCCACCCAAGCTGGGCTGGCAGCCCGCAGTGCCAAATCCCCCCACTTATCTTTAATAAATGGATAAATACGTAGAATATAAAGAATAGAATAGGTGACTATGCTGCCACCCTGGTATAGTTAACATAAATTTGGCATTAATCAGGCCCTCGGTGCCTGCCAGCTGTTGGCTGCTTTTCTCCCAGATGTGTAAAACTTGCTAGGTACAAGGCAACCTAGGTAATTGCCTACAGCTGGGGTTTTACTGTAGCCCTTACCTTTAAAATAAGTAAATGTATCTTAAAAATGCTACTTATGTATTAACTTTGCTATTCTTTCTCTATAATTAAAATGCTTGCTTTACATTTCTTAGATTTAATAATATTTGAGTACTCTTTGTTATAGTGGTTTACAGTACCACAGATGATTACAACGATTGCTAACACCTTGTTTGCGCTTGCATGTAGTCAGAGTAATATTTTTTTCGACTTAATTTTTCATTGAATGTTTATTACAGAATTAAAGCTTCTGGATTGTAATTCAAATCTCTTGGAAAGTATACCTCCTGAATTGGCTGGTATGGAATCACTAGAATTGCTTTATTTGCGGAGGAATAAACTACGTTTTCTACCTGAATTTCCTTCTTGTAAACTACTAAAGGTATTATTTACTTTATTATTACATGACTATATATTTTTCAAAAGTTAATTTTAAAAATAAGTTTTTTGAAAGGGGAATTAGGCCATTTTTAATGGCAGTATACTTTTTATTCTGTTGAGCTGTGTTTTTTCTATATTTATATTTCCCAGAATTTTAGCATAGCTACTAACATTAATTGCATTATTAGCAATAATCTTTCTTAAATGCTTTAGTTTTGATGTTTACATGGTTGACAAGAGTGCATGCCCATGAGGACACTGATTATGGTAGGGAGTATTGAGACATGGGGAACAGTGGATGGGACACATGCTTCCAGTTTTCTCTTTTTTCCTGTGTCTAGTGGTAGAGAGAGGGAAGTGGTATTTCCATCTGCCAAACATCAGTAGCTGTAGAGAAGAATGTTTTGAGAAAATTGTTTGGGAAGTTTTGATAGTTCTAGGATGTTGATTTCATTTCTCCAAGCTTAAGAAAATCTTTCCCAGGTCCATTGGCTGACAGAGTCCACCCCAGTGCATCAACTTACCCAGATGCTTGAAGCCAAAGCTAAGCCAAAAGAGTTTGTCCAGCCTGTTCTGTTCTCCATCTTCTGACATGGCACTCAACTTAACCTACAGGTCTAAATGAGCTGGCCATCTTGTCTCCCTTATGCACCTGGGCATCCTCCAAGACACCTCACCTGAGATGACCCCAGATCTGACTCTAGCACATGCTAGCCAGTATAGGATCTGGTTCAGTCTTTCACCCATCTCAGCCTGTGCACACAGTGGTGATTGTAGTTACCTGGTCAGTTCCTTTCCTAGACCCATATCCTGTGCAAACCTGCAGGTTCTGTGGCTCAGCCCATCTTAGCTAGCCCTTACACACACCAGCAAGAACTGAAGTCTAGTTGTGGTGACCCCCAGTAACCACTGCCAGGCCTAACTCCAGCCAGGTTCCTGTGCATGTCAGCATGTACAGCAAACTGGTCCAGTTCGTGCCGCAATCCAATTGGGCACTAGTATACCCCTGTAGATGTTGCAGCTTAGCTCAGCCTCGCTCACACCGTGATCTAGTAAAGAACCTGAAATTCTATCTGGGTCCCTTTCCTACAGAGGTATCAGAGGCCCAAGTTCCTGGGCCATCTTCCTTGACCCTCCCAGGTGTTCTGGCACGGAGCTAAATGGGAAGCAGGACAGCCTGGACTTCAATTTTGGATGATAGCATAACAGGCAGCAGCTCAACTCACTTTGCCACAATGCTGGCCCCTTTGGTTTGGTTTTGTAAACTTAATGTTTACATTGCTAGATGATTCTTGGAAATCTTACTTTTTACCTTTTTCTTGCTAACTGAAATGTAATGGAATATTTGGAGTTTTTTCTGTATGTTTCTTGATATTTGAAATTGAGTATCCACAATTATAGTTTCATTATCTAGTATATCAATAGAGAAATACATATATCTGACTTTTTGTTTTATAGGAATTGCATATTGGTGAAAACCAGATTGAGGTACTAAAAGCGGAGCATCTGAAACACCTGAATTCTATCCTTGTGCTAGAACTGAGAGATAACAAGTTAAAATCTGTTCCAGATGAAATTTCACTGCTGCAGTCTTTGGAAAGGCTTGACCTAAGTAACAATGATATTAGTAGGTAAGTTAAAAAAATCTAATGCATAGAAACCTTGTCTGAATTTACTTATAATTTATAAATTATATTATCTGTAAGATAGGAAAAGTCAATTTTTTAAAAAGATTAATTTTTATTAAAAAGTCAGATATACAAAGAGAAGTAGACAGAGAGATCTTCTGTCCACTGATTGCCCAAATGACTGCCGTGGCCGGAGCTCTTCTGATCCAGGGAGCTGGATGGAAAGTGGCGCAGCCTTGATAGGACCAGCACCTAGAACCGGCATATGCAAGGCAGACACTTGAGTCATTAGGCTGCCCGCCCCGGTAATTTTTAAGAATTATTAATTCTTGGGCCCGGCAGCGTGGCCTAGTGGCTAAAGTCCTCGCCTTGAATGGGCCAGGATCCCATATGGGCACCGGTTCTAATCCCGCCAGCTCCACTTCCCATCCAGCTCCCTGCTTGTGGCCTGGGAAAGCAGTTGAGGACAGCCCAAAGCTTTGGGACCCTGCACCCGCGTGGGAGACCTGGAAAAGGTTCCTGGTTCCTGGCTTCAGATCGGCGCAGCACTGGCTGTTGCAGCCACTTGTTGAGTGAATCATTGGACGGAAGATTTTCCCCTCTGTCTCTCCTCCTTCCTGTACATCTGACTTTGTAATAAAAAATAAATAAATCTTTAAAAAAATGGAAAAAGAATTATTATTTCTTAAAGATTTATTAATTTTTACTGAAAAATCAGATATATATTGAGGAGGAAAGACAGGAAGATCTTCTGTCCCCCAAGTGACCACAATGGCTGGAGCTGAGCTGATCCAAAGCCAGGAGCCAGGAGCTGCTTCTTTGACTCTCCCACGTGAGGGCAAGGTCCCAAGGCTTTGGACTGTCCTTGACCTATTTCCCAGGCCACAAGGAAATGTGGCCGCAGGGATTAGAACTGCCGCCCATATGGGATCCTGCTGCGTGCATGGCAAGGACTTTAACTGCCAGGCTACCCTACTAGCCCCAATTTTTAAACATTGAATTCACTCAGTATTTATCAATAGAAATTACACACACAAACAAAATTAGTTACATTTTGTCCATGACCCCCAAGTTAATATTTTAATAGAAGCAGGTGCATTTTCAAGTTACTGTAATCTACTCACCTGTGGCAGTACTGAATCTGTTTTGTTCATTGCTCTGTTTTCATCTCCTCAATTGGTACTTTGTCATATAGCTGGTCCCTGATAAATATTTGTTGAAATTGTTAAATGAATGTAAATCCATAAGAAAAATATAACCTGCTATAGGGAATCACAATTTATTAAGAGAAGCAGAAATAACATTTCTAGGTAATCATTAGCAGTGGCATTAAGGTAAGGCAAGTACAACTGCTTGGTGTACAAAATTTAAGAAGACATTTACTTATAAGGTCCTGCCTTACCCTAGGCCTACCATGTGGATTTTGAAGAATGATTAGGATTTTGAAGTTTACATGGGAGGTGGTAAAAATTTTAAGATGGGAACTGCATCAACAAAGGAAAATTCTAAGTAGGATATACATAGGATATCCTATGTATATAGGTAGGATACATATATATCCTATATGTATATATATACATATATGTGTATATGTGAGGATTTAAGATTTGCAAAGTAAGGTGAGCCCAAGATAATGAATTACTTTTCCTTACGTAAGAGATAGGAAGTTAAGATTATAAACAGAATCAATTTGATAATATTCTCATTATAAATAATAAATTGATGATAATATAAATGGCTTAAAATAAATCTAAATAAAGCTGTATTAGATTGTCAGTAGGAAATACTTGCCATTTTCAATTATTCTATAGAGTTAAGTAATGAACATTTGAATTGTGGCTCTGGGAATGTCAGGAAGCAGACAGATTTGAGAGGCATAATGAGGTAAAATAAGCAAAATTTAGCAACTAATTTCCTAGGATGAAATGCAAAAAAAAAAAATCATCAAAAGTTATAGAACTATAATCAGTAGATTTGGGATTATTTTCTAAATTTAAAAAGGAAGACTGAGTGTCTGGCTAAATCTTTCTCTTGTAAGTGCCGGAATCCCATGTGGGCACCGGTTTGTATCCCAGCTGCTCCACTTCCCATCCAGCTCCCTGCTTGTGGCCTGGGAAAGCAATGCAGATGGCCCAAAGCCTTGGGATCCTGCAGCCCTGTGGGGGCCTGGAAGAAGCTCCTGGTCCTGGCATCGGGTTGGCTCAGCTCTGTCTATTGTAGCCATTTGGAAAGGGATCTGGTGGATGGAAGAGCTTTGTCTCTCCTTTTCTCTGTAAATTTCTGCCTTTTCTCTGTAAATAAATATAAATAAGTCTTAGAAAGGGAAGACAGACTTAGACCTTGGATTTTACACCAAGTTAAAATCTCTAGGTATTTAACGTTAGATGCCAGAAAGTAGAGTGCAAGAAAGATTTTCTTCTATGTATATATTTAGTGTCTTTTTTTTAAAACTTTTTTTTGGCATTTTATGATACAGTTCCATAGATCATGGGATTTCCCTTATCCCCTCCCCAATTCCCTCCCCCCTCACTGAGTTCCCCTATATCATTACTATAGTATAGTTCTTCATACACAGTCATATGTCCATCATTGCGGGCATGGACAATGGCAGAGAGTCCAGCATCCTATTGTCAAGATATAGTAAACAGTTTCATTGGGAGTCCATCTTTGTCTGGAAGTAGAGATGCACACTGCATTGTATCCTCACATCTGGATATGATAGTCTCCATTACACAGTTACTATATATCCCCTTAAAAGAACAGCCACAATACAGAATCAACAACGGGAAGAAAAATAGACACTTATAAAATAGCAAGTTAAATAACTTGCTACTGAAGGACTAATGTGTTGCTGAAGAAATGAAGAAATCAGAAACCTTCTTGAAGAAAATGATGCTACTGTATGATCTATGAGTCATCGAATAATCAAGAGAAAGTGTTTTGAAGAAATTAAGAAAAAAAATCCATGATATATAGTTTTCACTGATCTTTGTTGATGAGATATGTCTCCTGTAGGCAGCAAATAAATGGGTCTTTTTTTTTATTCAGTCTGCTAATCTATGACATTTGATGAGTTTAAGCCGTAAACATTCAGGGTTAATAAAAATAGGTGGTAATTTGGTCTCATCATTTTAGCAATGGGTTGTTCATTGATTTAGTGTCTATTTTTAAAGAAAAATCACTTATTTCTATAATACACATGTGGCATATGATACATTGTAGGAGGACACTTGATTGGATATCATTCGTATGAGTACAGTTGAATGGATATCTTGTATGAGAACAACTGATTGGATATCATTTGAATGGGAACAATTGGATATATAAAACAAAGAGATATTTTCAGACAAGGGTGTGGAAACAATTGATGGGTTCCATAGACAGGCTTATGGGAACTATGTAAGCTCCTAAATGCTTCCTGCCTTTTCCTTTGTGACCCTCGGTCTGTAAAAGCCTGATACCGCAGTGAGCGTCATCTGTTAACCACCAGTCGATAATCCGTGTGTATGATTATCAGCTCCATGCACCAAGTCCAGCGCTGAAGGACAGTGAACAGTGCATCTTGGCTAGAGATCTGAATACTTGGCTAGAAAGTGGCTACTATTTGCATTTACATACGGCAGACTTAATAATAAATGACCTGAATGTCCTTAAAAGTTTCTCATCTTACAGGTAATGCTAGTCTCTTCCCTAGTGTACTTCATAAAAGCAGTAGAAACAAAATTAAATCTGAATTGGTACATATATTTCCTTTTCCTCTAATGTGAATAAAAGGCCTCTTTCCCTAATCTCGTGTTTACATGATAGCTATATTGTTAAATATTTATTTATTTATTTATTTGGGAAAGATATGCAGAGAGGAGATACAGAGAAAGATCTTGCATCCTCTGGTTCACTCCCCAATGGCTGCCACAGATGAAGCTGAGCCAATCTGAAGCCAGGAGCCAGGAGCCTTTTCCGGGTCTCCCACACGGGCACAGGGTTCCAAGACTTTAGGTCATCCTCTACAGCTTTCCCAGGCCACAAGCAGGGAGCTGGGTGGGAAGCAGGGCTGCCGGAATTAGAACCGGTGACCATATGGGATCCCAACATATACAAGGCGAGGATTTTATCCACTAGGCTTAGGTGCCAGGCCTGCTTCTCGGATGTTAGTGAAAATTTTAATGATAACTTGAACCCTTTCAGAATCTCTTCTAATAGAATATTGATTCCTCATGGTACTGTGAAGAGTAGTTTTTATAAAATGAAAATTATTAGATCATTCTTCTGCTTAAAAAACTTGGATTCTGTATTGCCATAGCACTGCATCCCAAATATGGTTGTCTACCAGAACCATTAAAAATATCAAGACAAAAATATACAAAGGCTATAGTAAGAATAGACTGGTATCTAACAGAGCACTAGAATTTGTTCTGTTTGTTCTTTTTAAAACCAATTCCTGGAAGACTTATTCAGCTATTTTTCTGATTAGCAATTTGAAATTCCTTTTTTATAAGATAAAGTCTAGTCAATTTGGCAAAAATAGCAGTGTTTTAGAGTCAGACTTTATTTTCTGTCATTTTTCACTCTTACAGGTATCCTGCTCTGACCACATTGACTATTTCTTTCTTTTTTATTTTTTTTATTTTTTGTTTTTAATATTTATTTTTATGGGAAAGTCAGATTGATTGACTTCCCCAAGTGGCCAAAATGGCCGGAGCTGAGCTGATCTGAAGCCAGGAGCCAGGAACTTCTTTGGGTCTCCCACTCCCACGTGGGTGCAGGATCCCAAGGCTTTGGGCCAGGAGTGCTTTCCAGGACACAAGCAGGGAGCTGGATGGGAAGTGAAGCAGCTAGGATATTTATTTTGTACCCATATGGGATTCTGGCACATACAAGGCGAGGACTTTAGCCACTAGGCTACTGCACTGGACCCTACATTGACTATAACAATGCTTTCTTCTTCTTCTTCTTCTTTTTTTGATCCTAGAAAAGCATTTTCCTGCCTCCCTGTGTTAGCGTCCCATTCTTCTTAAGCCAAAGCCAGAATTTGCTGTTCCCTACCCTTCCTGTCCTAGCTAATTTCTCTTTTCATAGCAAGTTTATTTAGTTATTTCTTCTATGGTGTATGTATATTAATTTTAAAATGTATTCAAGAGGTAGAGTTCTCATTGATTGGGATTGCTCACTCACCCAATGCCCACAACTGTTGGGGCTGGGCTGGTATCAGAGATGGGAGACAAGAATGCAGTGCAGGTCTCCATGTGAGTGGGAGGGACCAAAGTTTGAGCTTTCACTGCTGCCTCCGAGCATCTGTATTAGTAGCTAGGGTCTGGAACTGGAACCTGGCAGCAAACCCTGACACTCCCCAGTGGGCTGTGTCTTAACCCCTAGGCCAGATGCTGCCTTTTTCTATTTCTCTTTTCATTTCTCTTGAGTAAATATGAAGGAATTGGGTGCTTAACTTTACAAGATTATTTCCAAAGTAACTGTTTTTTTTTTATCAGAAAAGTACGATAAATGCCTACATTGTGTTTTGGTTAGTTTTATTTGCTTGTGTATTTGGTTTTTAATTTTTTGTTCTACTGAGAACTTGGTAGCAAGGACTGTTAGATTTAGAAGAACTTGAAACAAAAAAAAGTCGTTTGTTTTAAAGTGAGAGTTGCAGAGAGTGGGAGACCAAGAGAAAGAAATCTCTCCTCTGGTTCACGCCCCAGATAGCTTCCATGGCCAGAGGTGGGCTGGGGCTAGAAGCCTGAAGCCAGGGGGTTCATCTGATATCCTCTGTAGGTGGCAGAGGGTCAGACACTAGAACCATCTTCCACTGCTTTTCCCAGGCTGGCTGTTAGCAAGGAGCTGGATTGGAAGTGGAGCAGCTGCAACATAAACCAGTTCCCACCTGGTTTGCTGTCCTCACAGGCGACGTCCTTCCCTGCCACCCCATGACATTTTCTGCTAGGAGCACTTCACTTGCTGCATGGGTTTCAAAAGAAAACAGGACACTGTTGTACTAGCAGTATAGCTGTCTTCTGTCACTCATTAGAAATTTATATTCTTAACATTTTCTTTTCAGCACCGGATATAATTTAGCAAAATGCTTTACAGCTCACAGTCTTTTACTCTTAATGCCTTTTTGGGTCTAAATCCAGTCTTTCTTTTGCATGTCCAGTTTTTATTTTGAAAGAAAAATTTAACCCTATACTTTTTGGACCTTGACAATATTATATAGGGATTGATTATCACTTACTGTTATATATTCAACTATTTGCTTGGATTATACTTATGTTTAATGTTTTAATTGAAATTTATTAAATCTTTTGTAGTCTTCCCTATTCACTGGGAAAGCTTCATTTGAAATTTCTGGCAGTAGAAGGAAATCCTTTAAGAACCATTCGAAGAGAAATTATAAATGCAAGTATATGTAGAATTCAGCTATTTGTTTTTAAGTTTCAATTCAAATATGTATATATATTGATTTGTAAAACTGCAAGGTATGCCTGATGAATATGTGTTGTTTTCATTCTTTCAGAAAGGAACCGAAGAAGTCCTGAAATACCTACAAAGCAAGATACAAGGTACTTACATTTTGAAGGTTATACAAAAGTGTTGTGAAATAATATACGCAAGTTTAAGTGTACTGCAGATATAAGTACTTACAAACACAGTACCTAGTTCCAATTTTGAATTCTTATAGAACATATATGCTGGGGTTATAAAAATATGCTTACTCGCAATAGTTATCTGTCTTCAGTATCTTTGATCTGTATTAATGTGTGCCAATTAGAAAATACTGTAAGAAATATTCAGTAAGCAGCTGGTATTGAACTTTGAAAAAAGCAGTGCTTAATTTTTAGGAAATAATGTATGTGTGATTGCTAAATATATTTAGAGATACTTTTGTAGCTATTGCCCTTGTATAGTATTGCTAAATTCTCACAAAATATAAGAAAAAATATATTTGGGGGTGTGGAAATTTAGCATGACAATGAGCAAAGGTAACAATACTATAAATATGATTTTTTTTTAAAGGATTTATTTTTGCTAAAAAGTCAGAGAGGAAGAGATAGAGTAATCTTCTGTCTACTGATTCACTTCCTAAATGTTGCAACTACTCGAGCTGGGCTGATCTGAAGCTGTACCCAGGAGCTTCCTCCAGGTGTCCCCTGTTGGTGCATGGGCCCAAAGACTTAGGAGATCCTTGACTGCCTTCCCAGGGCATTAGCAGGAAGCAGGATGAGAAGCAGGACAGCCTGGACATACAGCAGCACCCAGCACTGCAGATGGAGGATTAGATAGCTAGGTCACTACACTAACCCCAGTAATATGATTTTTACTGCTTCACTAAAAGTGTAATAATAAATCTGTTTTTATTTCATTTCTGTTAGTATAGAATAAATTAATACATTAAAGTTGCAATTTAGGGCAATATATGTGATATACTGAACTGGTATCATATTTTCAGTGTGTTTGCGATTTTATAGTAATGGGCTTTGTTGATTCTAAAATTTTTGTGTTCTTAGAATCTTTCTGATGACCAGGTGAAAACGTATTGCTAAGTTCCGCTCAGAATTTCTGATTCACCTTGGTTTGAGGGTCCCATCAGGAAATGTACATTTGTCACAGTTTTCAAGTGAGACTCTTTGCTGTTCTGAGGATCATATTTTGAGTAATGTCTCATACCGCCTTAGTCATCATGATTTTTAAAAAAGATTTGTAAAACTGCAAGGTATGCCTTGCAGTTAACTGCACAGAGTCTCTAAGAAATGAGCTTTTTTTTTTCTCTTCATGCAGCTATGCATTCTACTTCCGGTACAGGCACTGTAAGCCTGTTCAGTTTTTTCCAAGGTCCTTATTGCCTCAGAAAATAAGCATTTATTTAGATTCTTTCATTTTAAGATAAACAGCAGATAATAAAATTATTTTAAAAAAAATCTTGAAACTGAAAAGCACTGTTGAAAAGTGACAAATTCTTTAAAATTGTTCTATTAACAAGAACTCCCTTCCAAGGTTTACCTTGGCACACCTTGATTACAGAACTTCCATGCCTCCTCAACATACGTTACTTCCATTAAAATATACTCTACATGCTTTTCTCACTGCGCTTAACATATTGTTTTATGTGTGTTTTTTTTTTAATTTTGTCCACTAGACTGAGTTATGTCTTTACTTCTTCCTATAATAGTACCTACTTGTTAGTATGTGTTGGATAATGTTATGTAATTAAGAAATAAGCAAATGGGCTTTCACCCTGTTTTTTTTTTCTGGGAGAAAATGTGATTCATGTGGCTTTTTTTTCCTTCAATAAAGCTACTGGCAAGGCAGAGTGATTTGTGCCAGTTTTCCTGAAAGAGAGAAATTGAGGGCCCAGTGCAATAGCCTAGGGGCTAAATCTTTTGCCTTGCATCCGCCAGGATCCCACATGGGTGCCAGTCCATATCCCAGCTGTTCCTCTTCCCATCCAGCTTTCTGCTTGTGGCCTCGGAAAGCAGTAAAGCATGGAGCAAAGTTTTGGGACCCTGCACACAAATGGGAGACCCAGAAGAAGCTCCTGGCTCCTGGCTTTGAATTGGCTCAATTCTGACTGTTGTGGCCACTTTAGAAGTGAGCTGTTGGATGTAAGATCTTTCTCTCTGCATTTCTTTTTCTCTGTATGTCTGCCTTTTCAATGTAAAATTAATGTTTTTTTTTAAAAAAAGAGATAAATTGAATCTGTAAATTGGGTGCCAAAATAGATGACACTCATTCAATTGAGTCACCCACAATGCCTTCTTAACAAATGAATAGATTTGAGAATTTCTGAAAAGTTTTTCTCTTCCTACTTTATGTGATTGAGTCTTCATTTGGCGTTTGTTTCACTTACTTGTGCAAATACAAGCAACTTTTGTGGCCAGCACAGCAGTTCTATAGGCTAATCCTCCACCTTCAAGCGCCAGCATTCCAGATCGTGACTGCTCTACTTCCCGACCTGCTCTCTGCTTGTGCCTGGGAAAACATTGGAGGATTGTCCAAAGCCTTGGGACTGTACTGATGTGGGAGACTCAGAGGAGACGCTGGCTCCTGGCTTCAGATATGCTCAGCTCTGGCCATTGTGGCTGTTTGGGGAGTGAACCAGTGGATGGAAGATCTTTCTCTCTGTCTCTCCTTCTGTTTATCTTACTTTTTAAAAAAGCAAATATAAGTTTTTCTCTGTGGAAATTTATAGATTAAGTGCCTTCTAGTTCTCTTAAATCTCACATTAATATACATTGATACACGTTAATATATATTTCATGTTAATCTACATTTACTCGTATTTTCTTAGTGTGCCCTGTTCAGTTGAAATTCTTGAAACTTGAGTATTGAAACTAAGTCAGTAAATGCATAGTGCAAAAAAATTAACCAGTTCACAACGTTTTATGATGAGAAATAAATTTTGTTTCACATCAGTACCTTCGACAAAGAGACTATATTCCCTCTTTAAAGGCTCTTTGACAATTAAAAATGTAGCTCTTTGGAAATCAGTGATCGTGGCAGTCTACATATAAATGTTAAAAACAATTGTTTTTGTTGTTGTTGGTTTAATATCCTGTCACTGCTTGTGTTTTTTTTGGCAACCAATACTGTGTATATTTCAAGTATTATAACCAAACTGCTAGGAAAGCTCTGTATACCACAGCATCTACTTGGTCTTAATATTTCTCTGATATTTTAGTTTTATATGCTATCTTTATAACTTTTCCTGTGCTGCTTCTATGAATAAGTATGTATAAGAAGTGTGTAAATGGGAAATAATGGTTTAATCAGTTTTTAAAATTACTTTTAATTGTGATACAGTAGTTATGCATTATTGTTTAATGACTGGCGGAATTCAGTTTAAGGTAAATAAACTGGATAGTCATTAGTAGATGTTAATTGGATACCTAGTGGGCTCAAGTAAAATCAATGCCAGTGATTTCTAAATATGAATTGTAGAATTGGTTCATCTTTTTCACATTGTTGAAAATTTGAAATCTTATTTTACTTCATTATAGATTTTTCAAGTCTTTCCTGCATAAAATGTTATTCTTTTAAATTTGTATTTTTTGGGTGCCATATGATGGGAATATTAAACAGTCTCTTTGATTAGTAAGTTGGTTATTGATATGTGATTATATGAGTATGAATGTATATTAGGAAAATGTCCAATAAAAGATAGTCTTTCTTTATCAACAAAATCTTGGCAGATACAATAATGTACCAGAGGCATACTTAATTATGAGAATTGCCAATTTTAAGTGATTGGAGTTAATCAGTTTTATTGTATACTAAACTGGAAAGAAGATAGTCATATGATTATTTGGGGGAACATGAAGGGAAATAATATGGGTATCTTCCCTTTGCTAAGAAATATTTTCTAATGGTTCATGTTATTTTGTTTAAGATAAAAACTTGATTTCTTTCTTCTTAGACATTGTACCTACTGTCTTACTCCTAAATTTCCTTACAGTAGGATTTATTTAACGGCTTTAAAGCCATGCTATAGACCTTTATCTGTTTTCTAATAATTAAATTTTATCTTCCAGATTGATATTTATTAGAAATAAAACATAATCCTGAAGGTTGTCTCACCAATAATATATAGAAATATTGTGTACTATATTTACCTATTATGAAGGGTTTAAAAAATTATCCTGATGTATGAATATAAGTTTTTATGTGATTTATCTTTTGCCAGATGATGGACCTAGTCAAAATGACTCTGCTGATAAGACTGCCATGACACTACCCAGCGAATCCAGTGTCAATATCCACGCCATCATCACTTCAAAGTTGTTAGATTATAGGTATGTAGTACTGAAAAGCACAAAAGGGACTTTTGAGAAAAAAATTTAAAAAGGAAAATTTGAGAAAAACACAACAGAGTACCTAGAATAACAGCAGTTGAAAAGAAGAAATATATTAAAATTATAATGACATTGTATACTTTAGTTGATTTTTGTCTATGGTAATAAATAGATTGTTTATTTCTTGACGGATGCTTTTATTAATAGTATAGTTTTTAGAAAAATTGTGTATTGTAAAAATGAAGTGACAGTATTGGTAATAATATTCTGTCTTAGAACTTGTGTCCTGTTAAAAAGAAATTAGTCCTTAGTTAATGAAAGTCTTATCTAGCAGACAGTTTGAGAAGTTGTACATGGCTAATGTTTCTTAATCTAAGATGAATAATATATATTGTAGTTGTAATATTCCATAGCATCACATTTTTTAAAACTCAAACTATTATGTTAATTGTACATTGAGATAGAAGCCTTAAAATGTTTGTATGTTATGGAAGTACATTAAATTGCGGAGATACCCATGTGAAGATTAAAGGTAGTAGTCCGGTGTTATTTTTATAGTGTATAAGCAGCTATGATAAAAAATAAATGATAGTCTCAAAGCTCATTACTGGCTCATGTGAAGATACTGTGAAAATACAAAAGAATACAGACTCAAGTAAGACAGATGGCTAGATTTATTTATGCATCTATAGTTAGTATCAGTGTTAACCTCTTAAGCTTAATGTGTCACTTGGAACTAATTTCTTGCAGCCAGCGTAAAGTTGTAGTTTGTATTTGTTGTGTTTCATTCAGTTTTCTCATCTCTTTCTTGTCATTCTTTAATATATATAGAAATCAGTATTTTAAATCTAATTCTGTTTACCATGCCAGAACAGGTAATTTTCCTCTTCTTATATTTATATCCCTGTATTGGCATAGCATAATAACGTTGCATAGTGTATCTTCCAGAAAGTGAACTACTGATTTGGTAGATTTTCTTGTTGTCTGCTAAATATCAACTTCTTTGCCGGGTATCATATAGGGATTGATGCTACAGAGTTCATTCCTGCCTTGGAATTTCTTAGCTTAGCGTTTTGTTTTTAATCTCTTGTCTGTCCGCTTCACCCTGGATAAATACCATTTATTGAGTCCATTCTATGTAAAACATTATACCATATATGCTAACATTCAGGCAATCTGTAAAGTTATTTTGGTCTTTCTTGGGATAACCATAGTTACTTTTATAAGCATAGATATTAGAAAAACATAATGGGGCCCGGCACAATGGCTCAGTGGTAAAGGTCCTCGCCTTGCACGCCCGGGATCCCATATGGGCGCCGGTTCTAATCCCGGCAGCCCCGCTTCCCATCCAGCTCCCTGCCTGTGGCCCGGGAAAGCAGTCGAGGACGGCCCAAAGCTTTGGGACCCTGCACCCGCATGGGAGACCCGGAAGAGGCTCCTGGCTTCGGATTGGCTCAGCTCCAGCTGTTGCGGCCGCCTGGGGAGTGAATCAGTGGATGGAAGATCTTCTTGTCTCTCCTCTCTGTATATCCGCCTTTCCAATAAAAATAAAATAAATCTTAAAAAAAAAAGTTTTTTTTTTTATTGGAAAGGCGGATATACAGAGAGGAGAGACAGGAAGATCTTCCACCTGATGATTCACTCCCCAACTGAGTACAACAGCTGATGCTATGCCGATCCGAAGCCAGGAGCCTCTTCTGGGTCTCCCACGCGGGTGCAGGGTCCCAAAGCTTTGGGCTGTCCTCCACTGCTTTCCCAGGCCACAGGCAGGGAGCTGGATGGGAAGCAGGGCCGTCGGGATTAGAACCGGCTCCCATATGGGATTCCGGGCATGCAAGGTGAGCACCTTAACCACTGCGCCATAGCGCCGGGCCCCCCAAAAAAAATCTTAAAAAAAAAAGAAAAACATAATTAAGATACATCTTTGATTGCTTTTATTCTAAATTGATTGCAATTTGCCTTATATATAAATTAGAACTATCCTATTTAAAATATGAATTCTCAAGCTCAGCATAAATGCTAGCAACTTTTTTTTTATTAATTGCATTGCATTATGTGACACAGTGTTATAGGCACTGTGATTCCCCCCACACCTCCCCGAACCCTCTCCCTATGGTGGATTTCTCCACCTTGTTGCATTACCACAGTTCAAATCCAGTTGAGGTTCTTTCATTGGAAGTATTTACCAGTGTGCTAGCAACTTTTAAAACAGCATCAATTTTCAAGATTTTTGGACACAGATCAGTTTCCCAAGATTTGAGCATCTCTGGAACAATTTAAATGGTACTTTATAGCAGAAACAGCTTTACTAAGATTTACTTCTAGCTTTAGAGATTTACTTCTGGTTGAAGGTAGAGGAATGGCCTATTCGTTTGCTGTGTGACTTTCAGGTTTCCTAGATTATGAAAATGTCTCTGGTTTTATTTGATTAGGTATATGAATGCCCGTATTTGGCCTATTGTTTATAATGCAATATGTTATCTGAATTTCTATAACGGATATTTTGTGATTTGATGAATTTTTATATTGTTTACAAGCCATCATAATCAACTACCTTGAAAAATTTTGTAAGTCCTTTTAAAAAATGAAAAGTAATAATTATTTCTTGCTGAAACTCAAAGGATTCATTTTTTTGAACAATCCTTCATTTTAGTGATAAACAGAAAAATCTAATTCCTGATGAAGTGTTTGATGCAGTAAAAAGCAACATCATCGTTTCTGTTAACTTCAGTAAGAATCAGCTATGTGAAATTCCGAAAAGGTAAGAATTGTTTATGATGCCATTTCTAGTAAAATGTGATGGTGATATTCATATGTAGCTGCAAGAAAAACAATTTATTATTTGTTAATTTGAAAGTAAACCTATTTTATTGCTAATTTTAAAGGAGTTACCAAAATGAAATTCTTTCATTTGTTAGAGGTATACAGATTTTGTAAACTGTTTATCTTTTATTTTTTAAACTATGTATAATTAGAATCATTAATAAAATGAAATTTTTTGTCTGTAAATAAAATATTGGGAGAAAAATGCTATGAAGTTATACAATGCCAAGTTTATGTTTAATAATACAAATTTTAATTTAGAGATTTATGTCAAGGAATAGCCAAGCTACTGAATCTTTTCTACTAATAATATAGTAAAATTTATTGAAACCTGTTAATATTTTTCTACTAAAAAAGGGTCCTTGTAGTTTTTAGAAGTCTTATAGAACAATTGATTGGATATCAGCATGAGAACAATTGGATATTTTCAAAACAGAGATACTTTCAGACAAGGGATCCTTAGACAGGCTTAAGGGAACTAAACTCCTCAATGCCTCCTCCCTTATCCTATGTGACCCTCTGTATACGTAAGCCTGATGGCACTAATATTGGCCCCATGCACCAAGTCCATTGTGGCAGACAGCCAGCAGTCATACTTTACATTTTACTTTGTGCCATACAGTCTTTGATATTTTAAATATGGAAAAGTTAGAGAAAATTACTTTTATGTTGGATTCTTCAAAAATGTTGTGTAGTAATAAACTACATACCCAAAGAAGGTTGATAGATGAACTTAACAGCTAAAATATTGAAAAGAAACTTGACCTGCAGAGTTGATAACTTGTACTGTATTGCAGATATATTGATTATGGCTTTTAACATGTTAAGTGGTTGCTTTTTATTTACTTACTTGTGAAATAGGGATTAAAAAATAGTAGTACATATTTATATGAATTAAATTAAAATGGCATAATTCACAGAAAGCATTTTGCAAGAAGATAATGCTTAGTACTTAAAATGTAAATGCTAATCATTTTAGTACTTAAAAGAAAAAAACAACTCATTTTCTTTCCTCTCTCTGTAACTATCCCTTTCAAGTAGATAAATTAGTTTTAAAAGGTGAGGGGGTGGTGGCCAGGGCAGGGAGGGGGACAGCATTTCAGCATTGGGCTTAAAACTTCCCTGACATTGGAATCCCACGTTGGCACCAGTTTTAGTCTTGGCTGCACCATTTCTAGTGTAGCTACCTGTTGATGTGCCTAGGAAATCAGTTGAGGGTGGCCCAAATGTCTCAGCCCCTGTACCTACACAGGAGACCCACATAAAGCTCCTGGTTTCTGGTTTTGGCCTGGCCCAGCCATGGACACTTCAGCCATGTGGGGACTGGACTAGCTTAGGAAGGATGTCTGTGTCTCTCTCCCTCTCCTCCTACTTCTCTCTGTAACTCTTTTAAGTGAACAGATTAAAATATATATATATATATATTGAGAAAATAGAATAGTTTTTAATTTGAAATGTTTAAAAATTTTAAAAAATCAGAGTTTGGGGCCCGGCGCGGTGGCACAGTGGTTAAGGTCCTCGCCTTGCATGCCCGGGATCCCATATAGATGCCGGTTCTAATCCTGGCAGTCCCGCTTCCCATCCAGCTCCCTGTGGCCTGGGAAAGCAGTTGAGGACGGCCCAAGGCTTTGGGACCCTGCACCCGTGTGGGAGACCCAGAAGAGGCTCCTGGCTTCAGATTGGCTCAGCCCCAGCCATTGTGGCCGCCTGGGGAGTGAATCATCAAGTGGAAGATCTTCCTCTCTGTCTCTCCTCTCTGTATATCTGCCTTTCCAATAAAAATAAATCTTTAAAAAAAATTAAAACAAAAAGATCTTCCTCTCTATTTAAAAAAATCAGACTTTGTTCAGGAAATTTAAACCTTGAATAATAATTTTATGAAGGTTCATTGCAGCAAGGAGATGTAGCACATCTTCTGATTTTGCCTTGTTTAAAAAACTGAGCGAATAGTTTGATGCAATAGTTGAGCATTAAAACTGTCAGCTTAGGTTTGTTTTGCCCGGTCCTGAATCAAGCAAGTTACTGGGGGAGGGGCTGGAGCAGATTGAAGGATTCTTATTAGGTTATTATTTACTTATTTTATTCTACCCACCTGGTCCTTATGCAAAATAATATGCTATTCTATTACCAAATCCATTGTATCACATTTTCAGCAGCTTTGAAAGCCATAAAAAGGCAGTAAAGGTCACTGATTTGTGCTGTTAATTTCATAGCATGGCATGTTTTATCTTAAGTTGTAGCCTGTTTAGAATGATATTGTATGTAGTGTGTTGAATACCTTATCCGTTATAAATTTTCCCCTATCTGTGTATTCATTCTTTTGTCTTTTAGTATGATACACTAAAGATTGTTACGGTTTAATTTACATTTCTTGGTAAATGACATTAGTAACATAATTGAAAGTACTAAGCTTGATTAGGCTTACTCAGAAATGTTTAATACTTCCTGTCTAAGCCTAACTTAAACTGTTCAGTGGTGACACCTACCAGACTAGGAACTGATTTAGAATCATGATTAAATTTAGTACTGATATGTATTTTTTTAAATAGCAAGTTAAAGAAGTTGACACAGTACATTTAAGAACATTTTCAAGAACTCAAAAGCAGTTGTTATTACATTGTATAGTTTGTAGAAATTCCTGTTTTACAGGATATATGTCTAACAATTTATGATTAATGTGAAATAATATAAAATATAAAAATGTCCTGGATTTTATTTTTGTCTTTGTGCCATGACTGGCTAACGTCAAAATATATGAGCTTTACGTAAAACTTTAGCATCAATTTTAAGGTCAAATAGAAACTTTTACATAGACAATAGTAAGTCTGTATTTTTGTTTGTTTTTCAGAAGTTTATTTATATTAGTAATTCAACCAAATTCAAACATCTTATGAAAAAGGCTCAATTATCAGAAACAACATGGAACTTTTCCTTACTTAGGATCTGTTTATGATTTTGAAGTTCTGATTGTGAATTAAGTGCTAACACTTTTAAAAATCTTTCTTGTTTCAGGATTATTGAACTGAAAGACATGGTTACTGACGTCAACCTCAGTTTTAATAAGCTTTCCTCTATATCCTCGGAATTCTGTATGCTTCAGAAATTGACATTTTTAGATGTCAGGTATTTGTTGCTATTGTCACGGCCTGATTTTTTGAAAATTGTGATTTGTCTTTTACCTAACTTATGCCCTATAAGTTTTATTGTTGTGGTTAAGTATGAAAACTGGGTTTTAGATTAGTAACAGGATTTTAGAGGAAATTTAAGTATTAGCAGATATTTAATCAGGCATCTGCATAAGTGATTGTTAAAATAAGTAATAAGAAATACATTGATCTTTTCCTGAAATTAGATAGAATAAAACTGGCACAACCCTATGCTACACAGTAGCTTGCATGCTTCTCTTTAAACAACCTATTTGGTTTTAGAATACTGTATTAAATAGTTAAGACCAAGAATAAAGTAATTAGGAGTGGCAACAAAAATAAATGAAACCTGGACCCAGTGCAATAGCTTAGTGATTAAAGTCCTTGCCTTGGACACACTGGGATCCCATATGGGCGCCGGTTCTAATCCCAGCGACCCTGCTTTCCATCTTGTGCTCCCTGCTTGTGACCTGGGAAAGTAGTCTCGAGGATGGCCCAGGGCCTTTGTACCCTGCACCCACATGGGAGACCTAGAGGAGCTCCTGGCTCCTGGCTTCAGATTGGCTTGGCTCCAGCTGTTGTGGTCACTTGGGGAGTGAACCATCAGATCGTCCTCTCTGTGTCTCCTCCTCTGTATATCCGCTTTTCCAATAAAAATAAATAAACCTTTAAAAAAATAAATGAAACCATATTTAAGATTTTCAGAGGTAATAGAAAATCTAATTTAAGCATGTGTGATTTGAAGTAATGGACTCAGCAGTAGCACAGCTCCTTAAGAATCATAATATGTATGCTTCAGAGCAACTCAAGCGTTTATTGCTTGTGTTTCAACATTTTATTGTTAAACGACATCTCCACAGCATTTTCAGTAGGTGCATTTTTAGTATATTTAACATTTGAATAGTACACTTAAAAGTACTAACCTTGTTTAGCCTTGCTTATCGATATTTAAGTTTTCCTGTTTCAGTTTTTATATTGCTGAACCTTGCCAAACCTAGGAATTGAAATAATGTTTCTTGTAATCATGACTAGGTATAATGAAAATTTAATTGATAATATTATGATAAAAGATAATGTATTTAAAAACATTTAAAATGTTTATAAGCAGTTGATATGTAGTTTAATCAGAAAACCCCTTTGTTACAGGATGTATGAGACAATTGATTTTATAAATTCAAGTCATTAACTGAATTAAGTATGATGTTTATCCTGGTTTGCTGTTTCTTGATTGCTCCAACAGCAGTAAAATAATAAGATATCTTTCTGAGGATTTGTACTTGATGTAGATGCAGATTTTTTTGCTTGTACAATTAAGGCCAATTGATTGATCCTCCACTCCTAGTAGGTATGGAAGCGCTTCTATTTCCAGGTGGCAAGTATATTGATAAAACTGTAATACCACATTTTCATTCAATATCAGTAGAGCAGGTGACTGAATCCTAGTCTCTGTTTCTGCTATCTATTTCCTTTTGTTGCAGTTTGCAAACGCACGCACACACTTTTGTTTGTAAATGTATTTAAAGCTTTTACATTCAGTGATCAGCATGTGCTTTCATGCCTTGTAATAAGTAGGTCAAAAATTCTCTAGGAAAATAATAAAATGTTGAAATGTTAATACAGACAATAACTGAAAAAAAATCAGAGGAAAAAAGTAGGTTACTTATAGTCACTTGTATGTTAAGGATGACTTCTGAATCAGAAGGAATAGATTAGAGAAAATTACTCAGTTGTGATAAGTAGTCATCTAGTTGGAAATAATTTTCCCCACATACATTTTCTGTTACTAGTTTGTCGCCTCTTTAAAGAGTCACAAAGACAGCAGAGAGAGAAAGAGGGAGGATGAATGAAAGCCTCTCACCTGCTGGTTCACTCCCCAAATGGCCATAAAGATCAGGGCTGGGCTATGCCGAAGCCAGGAGCCTGGAACTCCATTTGGATTCCATTTCTAGGTACAGGGGCCCCACACTAGGGCCATTCTCCCTTGCCTTCCCAGACATAATATCAGGAAGCTGGGTCAAGATGTAGATCAGCCAGGACAGCATAGTACCATTGGGATCCAGATATCGCTGCAAGGCAGCCTAACTTGCTGCAGCAGAGTGCTGGCCCCAAATGCTTCTGCTTTCTTGTTTACATCCAGCATTGCTCCTAGACTTCCAAATTCAAACGAGAATTTGTTTGCTTAATGTTTCATTGTAAGTTCTAAAACATGCATATATATAGATAGTCTTGGAGTAAAATTTGAATTGCTTAGTACAGAGTAGTAATCTAATTTTTAAACATTGAATCTCGTTTCATTTTTGTGTATTTTTTCAATTGTTGGAGTAGATTTTCATGTCTGTGAAGGACATATATAGTGTACTAATAGGAAATTTATTTCACATAGTGTTTTAGATGAGATGTAGAGGATTTTGAACTGTAGGAAGTATTGCTGAATTGTTTAAAGGAGTTAGGGAATTAGTTACATTGTTTACCTTAAGTGTATTAAGTGTTATTTGCATAATTAGTTGCATATTAGCATTGGTATTTGATACACTCAACAAAATACTTGCGGTGATTGAATCAGAAATGGTAGGGACCCACTTCAGTAAGATTAGATCAAGTGTTGACACATTGGTATAAGTATCTTTATTTTTGTTCAATACCTTTAGTGGTTTTTTTAAATTTGTAAACCTTATCATTCAAATATTTTGGTTTCCAATTTAGGAACAATTTTTTAAATTCCTTGCCGGAAGAAATGGAGTCATTGATAAGACTACAAATAATCAATCTTTCCTTCAATAGGTAAGCAACTGAACAGACATTTCTAACCACTACATAGTGGAAAATAAGAGTCTTTGCTACCAGAAAAAAAATAATAAAAACCCAAATAAATTTGAAAAAGCTCTTTCTCTTTACTTTTTTTGTGTTTTCACTTTGAATTGACAGTGATGCTAGTTGTTTGGAGTTCTTAGTGTTGATATCTAGCAGGTTTGGTTTTTTTTGTTACTTTTTGCAGTTTTGAGAATTAAGTAGAATAATAGACTGTTACACAAGCAATTTGTTACATTTGAAGAATAAGACATAGCAAAGCATGAGTGCTATGATTACTTGGAAGTGAGGTAGCTTTGAGGACTAGTCTTGAAATACAGTCCTTTGAAAGGCATAGGAAGAGGGCATCCCAGTTAAAGCAGAAAGCATGTGGTAAGGCACAGAGATGTGAGGACATGATATGGTACAGTGTTCCATGGGCTGTAAAGTAAGGAAATAGAGGATAAAGGTGGATAGAGGATGAGGTGGACTTGTAAGCAGTAGATCTCAGGACTTTTTAGACTAAATAAGACTTAGATTTAACTACAGCACTATCAACTTGCTTGAGATAATTAAGTATAGCTAATATTTATGGAGAGTTTATTATTTGGTGGTGCTGTGCTAAATACTATACATGCATTGTCTCCTCTTTTTTATCTCCTCTTTTAAAAATCCCTGTTTGGTAGATTCTGTTATGTTTATTCAGAAAATTAAGGAGTTGATGTTAATTTGTCGAAACGTAAGATACTAAGGAGTCAGGATTTAGGTTCCTGGAAGTCTACTGCAAAAATTGAGCTCTCACTAACTCTTTTGTATTGCTTCCTGTAATTAAATTTAATTTGTGAATTCCCTTTAATAAACATATCAACAGCTAACATTTGTTGTAACCCACATAATGCCTTAAGATCTAAAAGCATACTGTCCTTATTTAAAAAAAAAGTATATATGCTTAGTACTGTACTGTTGTTATTTACAGATGAGAACTAATACATGGTGACATTAAAATAAGTACTACTTATTTATTGGTTTTCCCATTCCTCTGAAACATCATTGTTGCTTTGTGTTTCCATGTCACTGTTCTTAAGCTTATTTTATTTGTATATGACCAGATTTCACACATTTCACAGTGCACTTTAGAGACATGATGATACTTCACCCATTACCATGTCTCCTGCCTGTATTCCCCTTTACCCCCTTTTTAAAAAATTTTTACAATGGCTTATTTTCATGTTGCTTATCAACCACAGGCTTAACACTCCATTGAGTAAAGATTTCAACAAATAACAAGTAGTATAAAATCTGCCTTTCAAATGAAAATAAATCTTAAAAAAATAAAAAAAATAGTACTACCTACACAAAGATAGGAAACGTTTTAACTTTGAATATGTAGAATTAATAATGAGTTAGATATCTGTCACTGAAGGTTTTTGATTTTCTGGAAAATAATGTAAAACTCACACAAAATTCAAGTAAACATTACTTTGTGATATCAAACTGAAAATCATTTGTTTCAAGGGAAGATTTTGATCTCTGGAGATACCTATGTTTTCTCCTTACTATAGGTTCAAAACTTTTCCTGAAGTGCTATATCGTATCCCTGCACTGGAAACAATTCTTATTAGTAATAATCAGGTTGGGTCTCTGGATCCTCACAAAATGAAGACAATGGAACATCTGACTACATTGGACCTTCAAAATAATGACCTTCTACAGATCCCACCAGAGCTTGGTAATTGTATGAACTTAAGGTAACTGTAATCCTATTGAGTTTTTTAAATTATTTGATGTTTTTTTTTCAAAGAATATTACAGGAAATTGATTTATATGCCTGTTAAAAATAACAGTTAAGTCAGAATTTTATCTGTTTATAAAATTTTACCAGATATATTTCTAAATTTTGTTTATATATTTGTGTATCATATGTATATATACATAAAATAATAGATTGCTTTTGGTGGTGACTTTTATCATCACTTTACATATTCAGAACCCAAAAGTTAAAATGCCATTGTAAGTGGAAATAACTTGCTTTATAAAAAAGATTTTTCACAATTTGTTAATAGCCTACCATCATTCTGCCCCAAGTGGGCAATGGCTTTTCTGTTTACATTCACTGTTCCCTTTGCCTTGGATGGCTTTGCCCTGCTTTCATTGATAGTTAACCCAGAGACCACTTTTTTTTAAGATTTGTTTTTATTGAAACAACAAAGTTACAGAGAATAGAAAGATCTTCCATCCGTTGGTTTGCTCCCCAGTTAACTGCAGTGGCTGGAGCTGAGCCAATTTGAGCCAGGAGCCAGGAGCTTCTTCCGGGTCTCCCACGTGGGTGCAGGGTCCCAAGGCTTTGGGCCGTCCTCTACTGCTTATCCAGGACAAGCAGGGAGCTGGATGGGAAGCGGGGCTGCTGGGACATGAACCAGTGCCCGTATGAAATCCTGGTTCATACAAGGTGAGAACTTTAGCTATTAGGTTACCACACTGGGCCCTATATACTTCTTTTAAAAGCTTTTCTTATTCTCCAGACAGAATTAGCTCTCTACTCTGATTTTCCATCATGCTTTGTTTAGACTCATTTATCTACTTTTGGTCTTTCTTTTGGAAAGAAGAAAAAAAAATCCTAAGTACCCAGAACATGGTAAATGCTTATTAAGGGAATATAAAGAGTCATTGATATCAATGGAAAGCCATTTTTTATCAAAATATGTCAAATTTAATTTAACTGCTGAAAACCGTTATTAGAGATTTGACATGTTGTGTTTTGTGGAGATAGCACTGCCCTCTATCCTGGTACTTCATATTAGTAAATTGTAAATTAAAAGAGACAACTGTAGTTGATCCACATTATTTGTGGTAGTTGTTGTGTATAAAGTCACTCTGAGTACCAAATTAGTGAATGCGGAACCATTGCTCCTGAAGGAAGTAGGGCTGTCACATTTTCATCAAAGAATACATGATTTCATTTTATTGTGTTTATCAATAAAGATACCTTACTTTTTATTGTTGTTGGTCATTAACATTGAGATCATTTAGAAAAACACAATAATTCATGCCTGAATGAGGCTTACTTAACACAGGTGTGTTTTCCATAAGGACTGTTTGTGCTTAGGAAAACTAGACAGCACATCAGCCTCACTCCTGGAATGCTGGTTTAAGCTGAGATCACCAACAACAGTAGGAAAACTTAAAAAATAATGTGCCACTAAATGACCATAACAAGGCACTCACTTATGGTGTAAGAGCTGAAACAAAAAGGGCAAGGAGGGTCTGGTGCGATGGCTAAATGGCTAAATCCTCACTTTGCAAGCACCGGGATCCCATACGGGCACTGGTTCGTGTCCCACATGCTCCACTTCCCATCCAGCTCCCTGCTTGTGGCCTGGGAAAGCAGCAGAGGACGGCCCAAAACCTTGGGACCCTGCACTCATGTGGGAGGCCCAGAAGGAAGCTTTTGGCTTCTGGCTTCAGATTGGCTCAGCTCCAGCCATTGCAGCCATTTGCGGAGTGAACCAAATGTCTCTGTTTCTTGTGGTAAAATCTGATCTACCTTTCTAGCTAATGTGAACAGGTCCTTTTTTATTTTTAATGCTCTCTTGCATTCTCTCTCTGCCTTTCCAATACAAATAGAAAGTGTAATTTAAAAAATAAAAAAAGGCCAAGTGTCACTGTGTGTGTCCTTGACTAGAAAAGTACCTTCTGATACCTCTTTTTTTGCTGCTGTTTATAAATCTGTAAATGACCTAGGAAATACCACATAGTGATTCAGAGACTAGAATATATTTTAGTGGGTAGTTAAATTCACATGTAAGAAATATACTAAGATTGATATTCCACTGTAGTTAACTCCTTTTTAAAAAACAGTAAAATTTCGGAAGAATTCCAAAGAAATAGAACTGTTTGAAGATACAGTTTAGATCCACTTTGTAATAGGATGTGTATTTCTCTTCTGTTTACATAAAATTTAAGCTGTTTAAATAAACCCTTAAATCTAAAATTGAACTTTATTTTATAACATGAAAATAACCTTATAAATAAATGTATGTCTAGTCAAGCAATGGAAGAAAACAGCCATGTTAGTGTTTGGGTAAAGATGGAGGGGTTGTTGCAACTGTTACTTGAGGAATGTGTAAAATTTGATCTCTATATTAATTTTTAAAAATTGAAAGTTTGATAAATGGATTACAATATAACCCTTGACATGGATACTTATTGCTTGTCTAAATTTGTCTTCAACTATAAAATAGGAATATTAATTGTACTTAAATTATTGGATTAAGTTTGCCGGTGAATACAAATTGCTTCATGTGGTACCTTTCACGTAATAAGCATTCACTGTTTGTTATTATAGTTGCAATTTCAGCTGTGTAAATGTTCAGATTAAAAAAAATTTTTTTAAATTATTGACAAAATTGCAAATGAAATCAGATGAAAAATTTTATTAATGAAAGATGTTTGCATTCTCAATTTTTGTTTTTCATTTAGAACACTACTACTAGATGGGAATCCATTCCGTGTTCCTCGGGCAGCCATATTAATGAAGGGAACAGCTGCTGTACTGGAATATCTGAGAGACCGAATTCCTACTTAAATTAGAGTTGTTTTATGATCTTGATCATATCAATTGTCAGAAGGTATAACATTTTGTTTTATTATTCTAAAGGTGATTGCTGTAACTGAATTTAGTTTCCCAGTCTCGGCTAGGTGTTGGGATAACAGGCCTGAGCCATATTTACTGCCACTAGGTATTTTTATCTAACAAAACAACTGTTTGACATTTTAAGATGTTGTATACACTTATAAATGTGATAATAAGCACATACTTGTTTAATGTTCATTCGTTGCTTTTGAATGTTTTGCACAGGGATACTCCTAATCATTTTCATTCCTTTACAACAATAAGAGACACTTTTTCAGAAATGAACTTTTATTTAATCTGGTTAAATATTTTTATAGCAAAGCGTTTTTGTAAACAGGGTTTTTTCTGCATTTCCTTTTTTATTCCATATAACATGACTAATTGACTTGAATGTGTCTAGTTTCTACCTTTGTATTCAGCATAATGAACCTAGCTGAATTTTGTCGAATATTGTTCTTTAGCATTTAGAAAAAGTTGAGACTTTTTCCTGCCTATATTAAGACTTTGGTGATGTGGTTATTCTCAGTGTATGTTTAAATTTTACATTCACTATTTTGTTTTTGTCTTCAGTTGAAATTTTCTACCTTTCAAAGATGTCTTTTTCCTATGTTTATGAGACATTTTCCAAGCTGTTTTTTAAATTTAATTTGATTTTTTTTTTTAAAAAAAAAGATTTATTTTTATTGGTAAGGCAGATTTACAGAGAAACAGACAGAAAGATCTTCCCTCTGCTGATTTCATTCCTCAAGTGGCCGTAACAGCTGGTGGCGAGCTAATCCGAAGCCAGGAGCCTGGAGCCTTTTCTGGGTCTCCCACACAGGTGCAGGGACCCAAGCCTTTGGACCGTCCTTTACTGCTTTCCCAGGGCCACACAAGCAAGGAGCAGTATGGAAAGTGGGGCAGATGGGTAACGAACCTGCATCAATATGGGAGCCTGGCCCACGTAAGGCAAGGACTTCAGCTACTAGGCTACCATGCAGAGCCCCCAGCTCTCTTAATACTACTCACAGAAATACTACTCAAGAAAAGATTTGAAGAAAATTGTGGAAGTGTTAGTTACTCTGATTAGTTTGAATTTAAAACTTGTTTTTTTCAGTGTTTTATATCCATGTAATTTGGTTATTGCTATATAATAATTGAAGGTAGCTGAATAGGTTACATCCACATATTTTCTCTGAAGTGAAATTATTGAGCAGTTATGTATATCCTTAGATATTTGAAAAAAAAAATGTTGAAGACAGTACCTTTTTAATTCTGTAGAAAACAGCAACAGAAAACTGCTAATAAGGCATACCACATAGAAATCTTAAATGGAGCCAGGCACTTTGATGCAGTGGGATAAAGCACCTCATAGAAAACCTGAGAGTTCCACATTGCAGAGCCTGGGGTTCCTGCTTCTAATCCAGTTTCCTGTAATGCATTCATTCCTGCCACCCGTGTTGGAAATCTTGGTGGGATTCCTGATTCCTGGTTTTGGGCTGGCCCAGCCCTGGCTGATGGTCTCTCCTTGTCCCTTTTCTTCTCTCTGTCACTGCCTTACAAATAAATAAGCAGTTCTTTAAAAGGGCAAATGGAAAAGGCTCATATATGGTCGACCTTGATTTAATAAATGCCAAATATAAACATTTTTGTTTACACTGAAGTGCATCAGTCATTATGCTTACCATATGATTCTGTTAAATAGATCAGTGCCGTGTTTATCACTTTATGTAGATTGGTAGATAAGTTTTGAGTGTTTGAGGCATGCTTATGTTCTGAAAAAAAAACCCTTGGCAATAAACACTGCATGTTTATAATAAAAGTTGCTTTTTTCAGACATTGATTGCGGTATCTTTGTTTTAAAAGAAACATGCCCTTTTCATATTACAGCTTTATCACTGATCGGGATTTTTGCTTTGATTATAAACAAAAGACACTTTACAATAAGGTGACATTTTATTTATACAATAAAGAGACTTTTGGTTATTCAAAACACTTTGTTAAATACTGAAAAAGTTGAGTACACCAAAGCCGAAAAATGGCTCTGTTATACGCTGCACAGCATTATGTTAGTCCCTGTGTTTTGTATCTGTACAGAAAGCATCCTCAAAATGCATTCTAATCACATTGTACACCTTTACTGGTTAGTGTCAATACAGAAAATAAAACTGGAGATTACAGGTTGCGTTTGCAATTAACTGACATCGTCATTAATTTCACTGATTCAGTAAATTTATAGATTCATAGAACTTTCTTTGCATGTAAAATGAAGCAGCTCTCAAAGTCATTATGGTCTCATACTGCAAAAAAAAAGCCCATTAAGTACATTCACAATCTATGTTAATAAAGTAGTAAATGTGTCTTCATTCAGTTTTATTTACATCAATATGTAGTCCAACTAAAAAGTACTGTTAATCATGATACAGTAGTCTTTTTAACACATACAAAAATGACAATTTATAGATAATTTAAGCTCAAAATCACAATTATCTCAAAATATTAATTACAGTACAGCCATTTCAATTAAACATTGTGATTTACTTTCTTTATAAAATGGTAAAATTCTTTATTAAAGTAAGCAATTTGTTTTGAACTGGCTAGAGTATACCCAAGTAGAAAACCTTAAATGTTAAGAGGTGTTTCCTGCCCCCACCCACCCAAATTTGTATACAGCCACCTAGGCTAGCAAAGAGACAGAAAAGGCCCCAATTTATAAAGATTAAGCCTCTTATGCTATACTGCTGTGGCTTGTTGCTTCTTCCATAAAAGCTTTACAAGGGGATTATCAATCAACTACTCAATGGAATGCATGCATTAATATACAGTATGCAAGATGTGTTTACTAATGTACAGAAAATGTGCACAAGGACTGCAAAAGAAGTCAAAGCAGCAGCACTGGATCTACCATTGAATATTGTAAACATGAAAATTACTCGATAATATAATGAAATTACTTTGAAATCAGATCTCAATTCAAGTTCTCTGACTGAAGGAGCTCTGGTTAATTTGGCCTTAAGATGTCACTGTTGTTCTGCACATATGGTAGTGAAGTAAGATGGCATAAAATCATGGGGGATTAGAAACTGTCTTCTTTTTATCAAAATAATGACCCAAGGTTGCGTCACTGGAAATTTTCCTGTAACTTATAAGAGAGTGAAATATTTCACTAAATAAAGTATATGACCTCAAATGAAAAATTTGTGTGTGTTTTTGGCTTATCAAAAAGTTTATGTAGGTAGGATTTCTTTATACTGTAATAAGAGTATTAGGTCTCCCAAAGTAACTGAGGTCAAAAGTAGTAATAGTTTAGGAAACAAAAACATTTTCATTGATATTTTCTAAAAATAACCTAAAATCATAAGCTAATGTCTTCACTAAAAGTAGTTAACTACCACTGTATTCTTTTAGAATTGCGTCTACTTAATACTCATTTTTTTTTTCCCTCAGAACAGAAAGAGCTCATAGTTCTATTATTGATTATATACTGCTGGGGACAGGGTGCCCTTGGATGGTTATAGAAAACTTTACTTGCAATAACCTAGAGTAATCTTACCTTCCCACAGTCATTTGTGATGGTTGTTGAAATTTACAAATCTGGTAGGTTTACCTCTGATTTCCCAATAAACTGGGGAACATATTTCCTCATATGAAGACAGTGTTATCATCCTTAAGCTTCCTTTAGTCCTTTCCGTACACTAAGTACAAAGAAACTTGATTGGCTCCTCAAGCAAAATAAATCTGGTTTATCAATTCTCTTTCTCTTCATTCCAAGCAAAAAAATGAGGCTTGCATTTTCAGGGAGAAAATGTTGAGGTTGTTGAAGGAAAATACCTTACTGTCATAAAGCAGAAGTATAAAAACACTTATTGCATTCTGTTGACACTAGGTGTCATCAAAACTAAAACCAAATTTTCTAGAGTAGTCCTTTCTAGCCTGAACTCTTGTGCGTTTTCCACATTCGAGAGTGGTAGGAACGGTCTCCTGAATAGGAAGATGCTACAAGTGATTGAACATAAAATTTATTCCAATAATACATTCTGGGAATAAATCACCATTCTAGCAGATACAGGAATTACTTTATGTTCTGTCTGCCTGAGCATTCCATCTTGTTCATCCTATATAGGACTTTGCAAAAATAACCTAATATTCTCTGACTAAATGAGATTTTCTTTAATAGAGGACTGAGAATGTGTAAAAGAGATGGAGGAATACAAACAAATACAATGTAATTTGTCCATTTGTCAAATGCTTTCCTTACCCAGCCTATCACACAGTCAATTGACCTGCACACCTGGACATTTTAACCTCTTTAGCTGTGCAAATCAAATGTGCAAAGAAAAACTTCCTATATATGTGTGTCTAAACAGACACAAAACCTGAGTCATAATGAAAAGATTTTAATGTAAGAAAACTTTTAAATAGGAAAATAACCTTTAAAGAGCCAAAAATACCTTTGTACACTATAAGCAGCTAATTTTAAACTTCAGTGTTCTTAAGCATCACATATTTTGTAAGACTTACCAAAACTCATTTATATCTGATAAATTTTCTTAACCACATTTTTATTTCTAACATCTATTTTCATTCCCCTGAATTCTCATTTCTTAAAAAAAAAACACATTCAGATAAGTCCTGTTTAATTTCAAACATTTCCTGTGATGGAGAAGAATATCAAAGAGGAAATTTGGGGATAGTGGGCATGTAACAATGCCAAGCCAAACTGGAATTTTAGAGTTCAAAAAATATCACGAGATATTTGCAAGAATATTCTGTAGCAAGAGCACTCACAGCACATGAAGCCATTCTCAGTTGCCGTCTACTGATCTGCAAACTATTACCTCTTAAGAACTCCTTTCTCCATGCTGCATTTTCATAGCTTTTGGCAAATTTCTCACCCTTTTCCATATGTGAACACTGACTGTGGTAACGAAGGTTCCTTGGCCTCCCCACCGTTTCCACTTTCCCACTGCAACCCTCATGCCACTT